AGGATATTTAAGAGAGAAAACTTCTCGTTTTATGTGTCGAGATTACGTAGGATGGTAGAAGTTGGATTTTTGTTACGATAAAATTCAAATTTCAGAAGTTGATTTTTTTTTACGGAGGGAGTACGCCACTGCCAAGTTCATTCAAAGTGAGAATTACCCAAAGATCACATCACACTCGTTGGTAGATGTACATCTACTCCAAACAGCTTCTCCGGCATCTCAAAATTTAACAAGGGATCTTGGGACTGAAATAATAGTCTTATCCACAAATACAAGAGATTTCAGTGCTTAAAATTTATCCACGGATATAAATGGATTTTAGATAGAAAAACCATTACTATTTTGCCTTCCCATCTAACATTCACTGTTCGCTGTTAGTTGCATCGCTATACGTGAATTTTCATAATCAAGTATATATAGTCTCAGGAACATGAAGATAGTAATTCACCTAAACATTAAACTTTGCTAAATAATTTAGAATCAATTATATTTATGGAGGAAGAAAGTAGTAGGCGCTCTAGTACTACTCCTACTTCATTTACTTTTGATATATTTCCATCTGAACACCACAAAGCTGAAATTGACAGGATGTGGCTAAATTAAAGATCACACAAATTAACAAAGCAAGACGGAACCTTTCTTATATCGGTCGTAATATGAAAACAGAAAAACCGTTCTTGCCGAACCTGGTAAAATGAGCTGATCGATAAGACCTGGAAAAGAATGAGCTGATCGATAAGACCTGGAAAAGAATCACGCAAGACTAAGGTAACGGTATTACTACTCCCACTCCTACAAACTAAGGCCATGTTTAGTTCCCACGTAAAAATTTTACACCCTATCACATCGAACGTTTGAACATATGTATAAAGTATTAAATATAGAAAAAAACTAATTGCACAGATTGTGACTAATTTACGAGACGAATCTTTTAATCCTAATTGCTCCATTATTTAATAATATGGTGCTACTGTAAATATTTGCTAATGACGGATTAGTTAGACTTAATAAATTCGTCTCGCTGTTTTCTGACGGATTCTGTAAATAGTTTTTTTTATTAGTGCCCAAACACCCCATGCGATTCCTATATAATATCCGATGTGACACGCAAAAACTTTACACCCCTGAATCTAAACACCGCCTAAGTAATTTCACCCTTTGTGGCTTTTATGTCTGGAGATGGGGACAGATGGGAGCAGTTGGTATGGGGCTAAAAAATTTTAGTCCTATCACATCGGATGTTTGGACACTAATTAGAAGTATTAAATGTAGACTAATGACAAAACCTATTTTATAACCCTGGACTAATTCGCGAGACGAATCTATTAAGCCTAATTAATCTATAATTAGCCTATGTGATGCTACAGCAAACATTATCTAATTATGTATTAATTAGGCTTAAAAGATTTATCTCGCATATTAGCTCTTATATTTATACAATTAATTTTATAAGTAGTCCATATTTAATACTTTAAATTAATATCCAAACATTTAATATGATAAGTAATAAAGTTTAGTCACCGAATGCAAGCACCCAGCAGAGAGAGAGATATCAGCTCGGCTGCGTAGGTATGGAATTATGGATGATGCGGGCTCGGCGAGAGGTCGATCCATCGATGAGGACGACAATGATTGGCGGCGGTGGATGGTCGAGGACGACAGGACGACACGCGTGAGAGCGGATTGTTGGTGGTGGCGGTGGCGGTGGGGGGTGGGGGGTGATGGGTCCCCTCCGCGAGTCAGCTTGGCGGGCCCGGGCGTCACCTGTGTGTGCCCGTCTTTCCCCGCCTTTTCCGCTTTGGCGAGCAGCGCGAGATCGATCCATCGATCCACCGATCCGACGACGACGGGAGAGGGACGCCCGCCCACGTGCCGGACCACGGGCGTGTCGGACCCGGGCCACGTGACGAGATCCCGCCGGATTTGCCCATCTCCCCTCCCCCCGCGTACGTTGGCCCCAGCCCGTCCCATCCCACGGTTCGATTCTTCCATCGCTCCGCGCCTCGCCTCTTCCGCCATGCGCCCCTCTCTCCTCTCCCCTTTACCTAGCCATGATTGATGTACCCATCGGTGAGCGCTGCGTGCGAGAGGATCACCCGCTCCTCATGTGTAGACGGACTGTCGGGCGAGAAAGCGTACGGTTCCAATAAGAAGGCCCTTAAACTGGCCAGAAAAATTACAACCCGTGATGGCGTTGTCCTTTCCCTTTCTTAGGGCGAGATATAAGCTGGTTTGCATGCGACCATGTCAGCGTAGGACAAAACACTAGGGGCACTGTTCAGCTGCTCCAGGACGTCGACAACATGGCGTGCGCCGTGCAAAGCTCTAACTAGGCTAGAGCAGCCGCTAGCGGTGGTACACCATGAGAGTATTTGGGACCATTTTTCTTTGATGAAAACGGCCTTGTTAGGATTAATTTTCACACTGCTATTTGGACACCATTCGACGTGACTTTTAGCCGGAGAAAGAAAGTGTGGACAAACATATAGATGCGTGTGGGTTACTGTACACGAATTAATTAAAACATGTCAAATGGTTTAGAGAACATTCTTTTCGTGGTATATTGGATCTTACACCGAATCGATTTATTTTTTTTCAAATCTTGTTTTAGGAGTGCAATTGGACATCATCACACACACATTTCTTTACATATATATGCTTGCGATATTGTCATAGACATCAAATATCTCCTGAGCATGAGCACACACATACCCACTAATGCACATGTGTGCGCATATACCCTTAAAATTGATAGGCACTAGCACTGAATCTACTCACTTTGTCCAAAAAAAAAATCAATTCCTTTCTTCGGTTTGCAGACCGATAAATTTTAGCCTCTCAAAACCCTTTACTTACACACTATTTCAATACTATTCTGTTATTAACGAGGGACATTTATATTTTTTTCCTCTCCCTTAAATCTTTTTTGGATGTTAGAAGTAGATGAGTAGTCCATTTTTTCAGTTGACGGAGGGATTAGTATTTAAGCTTCAGTGAGCTAAGTGCACAACCATATCACCCACCCATCTGGTAATATATAGGCCATCCTAGTGACTGTGAATACTTTAACCTTGCCCCTCTCCATATTTAGTGTTCAACCTCCACCAATGTCTAGTTAATGTATCTATCGAATCTCCAATACTGGCTGTCATGCCTTTAATTTTTCTCACCTCTCATATTTGGTGGTGCTTTTTATGGATGATCTGCCATTGTCCCTTCCTCCACACAGGGAGGTGGATACAACCCTAAATTTTCTGAAGATATAGTTGTTTCAATCACGGATAACACAGTCAAGCTACTATGTCAGTAATAATAAAATTTGTTTACGTATAGCAGTTTCTATGCATGTTAATTATCTAGTGCATACAGTACAACAGGAGGGGCAGGTAGACGAAACTTTCTCTTTCTAATAGTAGAGATATGCTCAGTCGCTAATAGATGATAAGTTCATAAACCAAGGAATCGATAGATTATTTATCTAGGGGTTTAACATCTCCCATTGTAATGTCTTCTTTTGTTTCTGTAATGGTGGATCTAGGAAATGAATGGGGAGGGAGGCTTATCTCCTTCCTCCTCCTTCAGGCCCCCCTACTCTTCCTCTTCTCCCTTTCTTTCCTCTCTCATCTCCCATTTTCTCAATGGTGATTCAGTGGGGTAGGGGGACCTAAGTCTCCCCAGTACGTATTACGCTCAATCCGATCTTGAATTTAGATACCTTTCTAACCGGAACAAATACTAATCGGATTAGCCAACGGACCCTCTCTCGCATGAAAACAACCCTACACATCCTCAAGCATGAAATTAAACTACCCTCCACATCCTCAAGATTTCCACCCAAATATAACCAGCACTAATCAAACTTCTCGAATCTCTATCTCCTAAAACCAATCAAGCAAAAGAAACACGTAATCACCCGTAATAATCAATCAGACCAATGAATGTAATTAAGTGCGTAATAAACCCCAGCCGCTTTCAGCCCATGCAAGAGAGTCCATATTGCCGTGTCACAAAGGTTTTTGGGAGGGTGGACGGAAGGCAATGATGGGATGATGATGGTCGCGGAGATGAGCCGTGGATGTGGGGCCTCCGCCCGCGGGGGGGATAGGTGCGCGCGTGCCGGCTCAAAGCGGGACACGATGATTTGGGCCTGGGGGAAAGGCCATGCGAACGCATGAATGGACACTTGAACTGGCCTTTCCCTGTGGCGCCTAGCTAGTACTGTAGCTAAGCTTGGCATGCCCTACCAATGCGAGCAGAGCACGCCCTCTGCAATCATGCCGTCCATCCCCAGGTCCGGCAGCAGCCTTGCCTTGCCCCGGCGTTGGTTTTTGCTGGTTGGTACCAGCAACTCGATCGAAAAGCCAATCATTTCTTCATGCACTGCTCCTACGTGCCGCGATCATTGCTTATTATCCCCAAAGCTAGCATGGCTCTCCCCTAATCTAGTACTCCTGCACCTAGCATTTCAATGTGCGGTACAGTTTCTCGTCTCCTGCTTCTACTGTGTGAAAATGTGCAAACAAATGAGCATTGAGCTAGCTATAGCTAGCAACCTTAAAACATCGAAAGCTTGCACTCTATCTCTAGCTACTTGTTGACTGGATTGGAGGATGGACGGTAGTCGGTTGAGATTACTGAAACTGGTTGTCTCTCTGTTTTTTTTTAAAAAAATGTTCTGATTTGGCAAAAATACTTCCGTGGAATGATCGCCGAAATGTACTAATTGTACGCGACGACGACTAGTTTATTTTGCACCACGTACGCACACTTGTTCACGGGCCATAAATCAAAGCGCATGTTGGTTTGCTAGATACTCCACTCCATTCGGTGGACCAGATTATAAAACATTCGTCAAAGCGGAAATGCATGCCCCTCCTTATATATATTTTTTTCTCCTAAAACAAATGCTACTTTGAGTGGAGAATAGCTGAAGTTAGCTAAGATAGCAATTTTAAGCCTTTAAGGTGAAGGAGGTGGGGAAGTTATGATTGCACCAATTAAGGAGCTCGCCCCACAAGTTAATCATTGCTGTCCCAAGAACCGAGTGAGATCCAACATTCCTTCCCACCCTCTCTTTAAAACCCTCACTCTCCCCCACTTCTTTATCACTTCCAAGTTCCAACTCTCAGCTAGCTGCAAACTCTACTCAGTTTGCATCGAGATATACAGAGATCGAGTAGTCAGAGCTGAGAGCTAGTGGAGAGAAAGCACCAGGGAAGAACGCAGAGAGAGGTTACAGGGAGCGATGATGGAGAGGGCCGAGGACCTGCGCCTGAGCCTCAGTCTCAGCTCGCCGCTTATTGCTCCTCGTACTCACCATGTCGCCATGCTGTTCCACGCTCCTCCAGGTACCTGTCACTAGCTCGATCGCGCTTTTCTGCGGAAACTTCAGTTGTGAGACTAGATCGATTTGTGAGTAGTTGCTGATGATTAACCTTTGAGTACGCGCGTTGTGTCTGTGGATTAGAGAAAAGATTCCTGGAGATGCCGCTGCTCCCTGCTGCGAAGCGGAGCGAGGTCGTCGCGGCAGAAGAGGAGCGCGCGGGCCTGCGCGGCGGCGGCGGCAGCGACGAGGAGGACGGTGGCTGCGGCATCGACGGCTCACGCAAGAAGCTCCGGCTTTCCAAGGACCAGTCCGCCGTGCTCGAGGACAGCTTCCGGGAGCACCCCACCCTCAACCCCGTGCGTAAACACCTCCGTCCTCTTCCTCTTCCTCTTCCTCTCCTGATTAATTGCTTAGTTTAACTATTTTCGGAGACCTAATTTAACACAGATGTATAGTTCGCGTGCATTTTCTCTACTACTGCTGCTGCTGCATCTCTAAACCCTGCGTGTTACATGCGTGCAGAGGCAGAAGGCAACTTTGGCGCAGCAGCTCGGGCTTCGGCCTCGGCAGGTCGAGGTGTGGTTTCAGAACAGACGCGCAAGGTACGTAATAAGCACATGCAATACCGTACTGTACATCTTGGGGATTAATGGACTGTTAGTTTAGTGGTTTAAGCTTGGATCGACATGAGTCTCGCTCTCAATTAATCAATCGATCGGGATTATATTCTGAAACCATTGTTCTTTGCGGCCTGTGTAACTAACTCAGGACGAAGCTGAAGCAGACGGAGGTGGACTGCGAGTTCCTGAAGCGCTGCTGCGAGACGCTCACGGAGGAGAACCGGAGGCTGCAGAAGGAGGTGCAGGAGCTGCGAGCGCTCAAGCTCGTCTCGCCGCACCTCTACATGAACATGTCCCCGCCCACCACGCTCACCATGTGCCCCTCCTGCGAGCGCGTCTCCAACACCAATAACAACTCCAGCGCCGCCGCCGCCGCCGACCGCCGCGGCATCAGGACTACTACTGCCGCAGGCGGCGGCAGCGTCGTCGACACCGCCGCCGACGGGGGCATCCTCTGCCACCGCCCGATCGCCGTCCGGCCGCAGCAGTCATGACAAGCTAGCTAGCTTTTTACTTCCTAGCTAGACAGACTACACCCGTACACTGTCCCCATGTGTCAACGAGGCAGCAAGCAGTGTACGTGCACATTATATTCGCGCAAGCTGTGTGTGTTGCGCTCACCGATCGATCGCTCAGTTGTTGTTTTTTTCCTTTTTGTTGGAAGCAGCTAGCTGGCTAGCTATTAGCATGGTGTTCATGCGTCAGGTGGAGTAGTAGCTATAGGCGGCGCTGGGATAGAACAGGAGTGTCTCGGCAGCTTCTGGCCGGCGGTGGTGGTGTTCGCGGGCGGGCCGGCTGGGAGCTGGGCGTAGCGAATATTTAGCTGGTCCAGGGGAAAGTTGGATATGGTGGGATACGGGTGTAGGGGAAGTGGGGCGCAGCGGGATGGCACGGTGGTTTGTTCTGTCCCGGCTGACGATGACGGCGATGATGATGAGAGGGTCAGTTTGTTTGTTGGACAGTCGTTTCTCTTAAGCTTGATTCTAGCGATTAATTTAACACGGGTAGGCATGTGCATTTGGTCTCTGCTGAGCTTAATTTAGGTGATTAGTAGTGTGTTCTTTAATTGGCCGGCCGGGAAAGCCATAGCTTGCATGCATGCATGAAAGTTTCCTTGTGTTTTGATGGGATATTATCCGCTAACTGAAAGCGTTCGATCGGTTTGTTCGCTTAATCATGTGAACGGCTAAATATAAATATGTACTACTACTGGATATCGAGTAACGAATCATCTGGATATAATCGAATTGAATTGCCCGGTCGAGGAATATGCACCATTCGATCGGAGGTGGTATATATATGTCAGTTCTTATCTATGCTGATTGAATGGTGCTTATACCGCTATACCAGGTGTTTGTTCTTAGTTGCTCTCATGATCATAACGGCACAAATTCATCGTACGCGCGAGCGTATAGCTGCAGGAAGAGTGCCTAGGAAGCTACACCGAAATGAGGCCCAAAATCATGTACGTACGCGTGACACCATGGCACAATATAATCGCCAAGTTCACGTCAAAGTAGAAATATTTTCCATCACTCCATTTATTCTCTTGTTGTACAAGTCAAACTGTTATAAAGCACAAGTGTATCGCTCAGACTCTCAGAGTCACTCGATACGTGGAGAGACTTGCCTATAGGTGGATAGGAATTCTCAGGCTGGTTCACAAATTAATCACACCAAAATTTGGTAACGCCAAATTTTGATATATTTCGACGTTACCAAATTTGGTAGTGTTGACTTTATTTGTTTTGATGCTTTTACTATATTTTGGTAGAGTTTTAAAGAGAGGAAGCTTATAGGTAGTAACGGCTGAAGTATGCATGTTTAGTTTGTTGTTTTACTAAAATTTGATAAGGTTTAAAGTGGCAGCCAACTGAATAGCCCATCAATTTGAATCCGAAAGGATATACTATATGATACCGTTGACTTGGTTGGATTTTTTTAAAATTTTAATCATTTTTTTAGACCAAGTAGGGGGGGCGCAAAAACATCAAATTTAAAGTTTGAAGTGAGGAGCTAAAACCTTCTTCCAAGGGTAATTTTACCGCTATATTTTCTAGTGTAAAAAGTTAATACCTCTAGGTACTAAGTATTTTAAGGTATAAAAAATTTTAGTATAAAATTTAGATACCTCAAGATACTTTCTAAAGAACTGTAAAATCCCTCTTCTTCCAAACAGAGCTTGCGTCCCTATCTTGACTTTTTAAGTCTGACAGTCCAAAAGTTTGTTTCCTACAAACACCTTCTTGAAGCCGAAGCAACCGAGGGCGCCATGTTTCGAAGACCACATCGTGTCTATGATTCCATAGAACCTAGGAATACAGGAAATAGAAGAGGCAAAATTGCCTTGTAGGATTCAAATAATATCCTACATGCATTCAAATATGGAGGGAGTGGAGTTTGTCATTGAGAAAACCAGATCAATTGAATATTGTGGGACGTTGATCCTCTGCTGTACTAGAATGCAGTGGTACTGTAGCAAACTTACCTCGACAAAATATTATTATTCCTCTTCTGTGTTCGAGATCACTGTAGAATTTGTTTTCGGCCGTTTGATGAAGATCCGACGGCAAAAACAACGCCTAATGTCAGTGTACTGTAGATCATCTGCAATTTCTTCTTCCCAATGCAGAGTATACTCGACGCAATGTATCGCCAGCATCCACTTCAGCTGCACGGTGTGCGTGCGTGCAATGCCTAAGAGTACGTGGACACAAACACGTATGCATGCAGCTGTAGTACCATCTCAGCCAGTACTACCCACTGTAGCTATAGCAGCTACAGCGGCCAAACCTTTGGAGTTTGGAGGTCACGCGACCCACGCGGCCGCGCACCATAACTTGGGGAGCAAAAGCTGGGGCTTTTTCCCGGCCGTGTTGCATGCAATGTTTTAGTATAAGCGGCATGCATTAATCCGTGCCGTGTGTTACCACTCATTGGCTCCCACACCGGCCCCCGCCTTTTACGAGATTGGCTAGCACAATGATTCCCATGGGAGAGCGTACTCACATGGCTGGTCGTACTGCCTGTTTGCTTGCTGCTGGAGCCCAAAAAATCAACGGGTAATCAAGCTGAAAGGACTAAATAAAGAGGCCCTGTCGTGATTAACTGAGAGATTTATGGTGCTTATATTAGAGCATGTCGCGTATGAGACCGTCTGCAGTAGTAGGCTGTAAGCCACTAATTACCCTATCGTGTTTCCCCAGCTTTTGTCAGTGCGCTCGGCTTCTAATTTGACCACACATGATGTACGCTAACGTGCTGTCCTGTACTCCTGTGCCTGTCCAGGCTAGTCAGTTTAGGCTGAGTTTAGTTCCAAAGTTTTTTTTTCAAACTTCCAATTTTTTCATCACATCAAAACTTTTCTACACATAAAATTTCAACTTTTTCATCACACCATTTCAATTTTAACCAAACTTTCAATTTTAACGTAAACTAAACACACCCTCAGACAAATCATGTAGAAATCAGAAAGACCAGATCGTCCAATACTGTCCAGCTTTCGGCCCATGGGCTTTAGACCATAGCCTATTAGCTCATACTAATCACAACGTTGGGCTTCTTTTCTTCTTTTCCTGGATTCCTAACGTATAACTGGCATATATCCGAAAAGAAGGCACTATGTAAGGGGGATCTTAATGGGCGATCGATCGTCCGGAGACGGGGGTTATCGGTCGATCCCCTCCCCCCTCCCACCCCCTCCACCTGGTTTCCTTTGTTGGCACCGCATTACTTTCCTATTTTAGTAAATTTATACACCTAAAGTTTATACACCTCAAGTTTACACATCTAAAGTTTAGAGACCAAAAGTTTATAAGTCGAAAGTTTATATATCCGATTCAAAATTGAATTTGAATTCAAATATTTTTTATATATATAGTATTTCTATACATCTAAAGTTTATAGACCTAAAGTTTATAAGTCAAAAGTTTACATACCCGTTTCAAATTTAAATTTGAATTCAAATATTTTCTATATATAGTATTTCTATACATCTAAAGTTTATAGACCCAAAGTTTATAAGTCAAAAGTTTACATACCCGATTAAAATTTGAATTTGAATTCAAATTCAAATTTGAATTGAAATATTTTCTATATATAGTATTTCTATACATCTAAAGTTTATACACCTAGGGTGTGTTTGGATAATGGGTTAGGAGAGGTGGGATTGTGAAATGGAAATGAATAAAAGGATAGGATGAAATGGAATGAGAAGAATGGATGGCTAGGATTGAAACTTACCCTTTGAGGGGTGGGAAATCATATCCCAAACCCATTATCCAAGGGGGCTGCTATACAACGGAATCCCGTTTTCGAACGGGATGAGTTCTGATACCTAACATGTATCATACGTTTCTACCACATATCAGGTGATACTTGCGAGGTATCAGATAATATCTATCATGTATCATGCGATTCTTACCACGTAGAGGGTGATACTTGTGAGGTATCAGGTCCTAATACCTAACCGGTATCAAGTGATACCTATCAGGTATCATGCGATTCTACCACGTATCAGGTGATACTTGTGAGGTATCAGATGGTACTTATCAGGTATCATGCGATTCTTACCACGTAGAGGGTGATACTTGCGAGGTATCAAGTCCTGATACCTAACCGGTATCAGGTGATACCTATCAGGTATCATGCGATTCTACCACGTATCAGGTGATACTTGTGAGGTATCAGATGATACCTATCAGATATCATGCGATTCTTACCACGTAGAAGGTGATATTTGCAAGGTATCAGATGATACCTACCATATATCAGAGTCGAGCACCAAAGCGTCATCGCCGGTGGTCCCACCATCCACGTCCCATGCCGGAGCTTGTCGCCGGCGGCCACATCTTCCACCATCCGCGCCACGTCAGAGTTCGTTGCCGGCGGCCGTGTCCTCCGCCATCCATGCCCCACGCCGGAGCTCGTCGCCGACGGCCGCATCCTCCACCGTCCACGCCATGTCGGAGCTTGTCGCCGATGGCCGTGTCCTTCGTCATCCACTCCCAGGCCGGAGCTCATCACCAATAGCCGCATCCTCCACCGTCCACGCCACGTCGGAGCTTGTCGCCGGCGGCCACATCCTCTGCTGCCTCGACGAGCTAGCCAGGTACGTGCTCGTCGTGCTCGCGCCGATGACGGCAGCGAGGGCAGCACCTTCGTGCTCTACTTCCTCATCTGCCGCCGTGTCCGTGTTGGGATCCTCCTCTCCTACGCCGGCGCCGGTGCCGCCGGCGAGAGGCTCGCGGTCGTGGCGCAGTGCGTCGATGGTGCGGGCGTGGGTGCCACAGCCGGCGCCACCGGCGAGGAGCTCGCGGTTGCGGGATAGTGCGTCAACGGTGTGGGCGTGGGCGCCACAGCGCCGCCACCCATGTCGGCCATGCATGCGTGCATGTTGGAGCGGCACCGTGTCCTGCACAGGCAGCTGCTGCTGCTGCTCGGGACGTCCATGGTCAGGTATCGCTCCTCTTTGAATAAGCAAGAGTCCCGTCCGGACGGGATTCCGGTATGTAGCATTCCCGTTATCCAAACATGGCCCTAAAGTTTATAGACCCAAAGTTTATAAGTCAAAAGTTTACATACCCGATTCAAATTCGAATTTGAATTTAAATTTTTTATATATAGTATTTCTATACATAAATTTTTTTAACCTTTTGTTTGTGAACTGTCTCTTCTCCCAAGGAAACTACTTTCTGGGTATCGACCGTAATAGGTAGAGGGCGTGGTATAGGAAAGGAGTAGATCAAAAGTATCTGCGCAGAAGGAAGAGGAACAAAGGAAGGCGACAAGAAGGCCAAGCATGCCCGACGAGTCAACTCTTTAAAAAGCTAAAATAGATGCCAACCGCACATGAATTGCAAGAATGCGGTTAGTGATTGATTGTGAAAGGTTTTTTTTAAAAAAATTGTGTGGTGTACTGTAAATGAAGAGAAGAAGGGGAGAAGGAAGGAGGGAGAGGAGGGAGGAGTGTATCGTATAGGGGAGGGGGCGGGCGGGTGATCGCTGGGCGGACGGGGGAGCGATCACCCACCCATTAGCATTCTCGCTATGTAAGAGTAGAGAAGGTATTAGTATCTGCCAAGAACAGAATATTACTGGCCTCTTCACAAATCTAGCGGTAGGTAACTAGGTGGTAACTTAGATTTTTTTTTTTAATCTTCCCTACCGCAAAGAGGTAACCTGAAGAAGGCAAGAAACGGAGTGGGAAACACACGGGATCTCTTTCCGATGGTGGTAAAGAATAGCCGTCGAACTAAGCAACGGATAACCTGCTGCGCGAAAGAGAGCCTGACGCGACCGTCTTTTCCCTGAAATTTGCTCCCACTCTTCAAAGAAAGTTGGCGTGCGCATCTCAAAAGAAGAATCGCAGCGACAAATCAGGTCACCTCTTGCTTCCTGGAATAATGGGGAGGCATGCACACGGCCGGGAGGCCGGCGGCGATGGATAATACGGCGCACGGCGGGCTATCTGGCCGAGGCGGCACCCTCCAGATTTGGGCCTTCTTTGTTTTTGATTCTTCGGGGCCAAAAGCTCGGTTGCTTTGCTGCTACTGTTGTTATCGTGGAAACGTCCTTTACAGAGTCCGAGACAGACTTTGCAAGGGAAGCTAGCCAGCTAGGCATCTGCCAACACTGGAGAGTTTTTACCCGCGAACTAGTCCAGTATCAGGCATGCATGCAACCGTCAACCTGAAGAAAAGTCACTACTACAAAACACTCTTTGGGTTTCGATTGGAAATTTTATGTTGGTGTCGGATTTCTCAACCGATATCCTACTAGCGACATCGATAAAAATTAATTATATTGATTTAGGAATTAACACCTTTGAGAATTAGGAATAATAATAATAATAATAATAATAATAATAATAATAATAATAATAATAATAATAATAATAATAATAATAATAATAATAATAATACCTTTGAGAATTAGGAATAATAATAATAATAATAATAAGATTGGCCCTAATGTATCGGCTCAAATCGAGCCGATACTTCAAGCGACCCCACATCACCTCTGAGATCGATCAACATCAAGAATCGACTAGCATGCTAAAGAATCAAGATCACACAAAACTTACACACATCAAGAATCAACTACACATTACAGAATCAAGAATCCTAACCTTATCAAATTTCATATAAAATCACAATTTTTTTTCTCAAACTCCATCCTTAGATTCAGCACAAAAGAAGGCAATAAAGCAATAGCCTGTCGTCGCGCTGAGAAAGCGAGGGAACCACCGCCGAGCCTAGGGAGAATGAGGGAGTTGCCGCCGTCGGTGGTGCAGCAGGCACATAGTTAATTTTTTTTTGGGGGGGGGGGGCACTGTCGATGTAGGGGGAATGAGTCGCCGCCAAGCCAAGGGAGTGGAAGGGAGTTACTACTGTCGAGCTGGCCGTCCCAAGCTCATGGCAACCGGATTTGGTGGTCCTCAACTTATGGCCGCCACTGTTGTCTACCCATCAAAACACCACCGAGCTCTAGGCTACCAGATCCGCCACTTCCCACTCACGCGCCATCCTTCCACTGTGAAGAAGAGAAGGAGAGAGCCGAGAAGGAGGATATGTTGCGGGCTAGGAGAAGGATATGAGGTGTGCTGTGAGCGAGGAGGAGGCACATTGGTGATGGTGGACAGAAGGCGACGATGTGGGTGAGGAGGAAGCGCCGACAATGCGAGAAGGCAACGCTGCTGGCGAGGAGGAGCGGTGGCGACAGAGAGAACAAGGGTGAGGAGAGACAGAGGACTTAAAAAGGCGAGAGGATAGGATTGGTGGACTAGAGGTAGTATTCTCTCCTTTTTTTTATCTTAATTTCGAACTAACCAACGTCATACGTTAAAGTGTAATTAAAGGTTGCAGGTAGTATGTCTCGGTTTTTAGAAATGATGATCCCTCATAGAATCATGCGTGCTGCCTTAAAAAACAGTTCACCTTAAAGCATGCCCAATACTATTCCCGATCTCAAAATTTTGGAGTTTTCTACAAAAATTTAGATCCAACTGACCTCTAATCAACATCCCGCAAAATTTGGAAATCCCTTCTCCACATGTTCTCATTCTCCACATGTAGGGAAGATCACCATCTCCCAATATGCCGATCGCCAACAATTTGCGCACATAGTTGAAATGTCTCTGTCGTGGCAAGCTCGCGCGCCGTCAAGTCGATTCGCACAGCCACTGACCCTAATTTATCCCGTCGCCGGCTCGATTTCACCGCCGCTAGCCCGTCTCGATACACATTGCCGCTGACCTACGATCCATGCTACTGCTGGCCCTCGATCCGCGTCGTCGCCGGTTTGATTTGCGTTGCCACCAGCACATGCCGAGCTCGTTGTCGCCGGCTCGATTCACACAGGCGCTGGCTCGATTCACACAATCGCCAGCACCCGATTAACGCTTGTCCCGAGCTCGTCTGCCGATGGCTCGATTTGCGCCGCGGCTAGCTCGATTCATGCCCTAGAGCTTGTCCACAGTTGGCCTTTTGCAACCTTGATTCACGCCTCTACCGAGTCTCGGTTTGCGCTGTCGGCCACCGAGATCCTCTCGCACCCCCAGCCACCCTTGCTGCCACCCACCGTCAGTGCCAACTTGTCTCATTGCACTCAAGTTTTGGCCCTACATGCAGAGGTAAAGAACGAGAGGAGGAAGAGAAGGAAAAAAAAAGAAAGAGCGACCGACATGTGGATCCCATCGGTCGGGTTATTATACAAGAGAGAGAAACTGTTGGTAGTTTTGCAGGTGGTCCCATTTTTAATTATAGGGGAGGATATTTTATGACCCTAAATCGGTAAATCCTGGTTAGCAAGTTTTGAAAAATCATCTATGGAGTGGATATATTGGGTATCTTTTGGTGATGCTCTTGTAACAAATAGACAAATAGCTTTTCTGAAAATCAAAAGGACATGTTCTTTTAATCTATTTTTCTATAATTAACAAAACTTGCTTTGTTACTTCAACAGTTTCTTAATCTATGTCAACAATCTGTTTACATAATTTATTTGATATGGTCTACTACAGCTTGGGCATTGAATTTGCGTCTGGAAGTTAAAAGAGATAAGCACACGATCGAGTACATCTCACTGGAAGAGAGCAGATCAATAATTGTTGACTTCTTGATGCATCTCTCGAGCTCCCCTGAAACTAGTATCAACAGAAGACTGAAGTGGATCCGTTTGACGTTTTACCATCAGATCCGAAATCTATCTATTATATTATTAAAGGAATAGAAAAAGGAGTCTCCACGTTCGCTCTCATGGCCTAGAAATTCTCACGTTAATCGGAGAAAAAGAAAAATCAGAGTCCATATAGAAATACAACTTAGAAATAGCTGAAATTCAGAATTAAAAAATAAGGGATATTAGAAGAGGAGGCTAGAGTCCATATAGAAACACAATTTAGAAATAGTTGAAATTCGGAATTAAAAATAAGGAATATTAGAAGAGGAGACTAGAAGAGGAGACTAGAGTCCATATAGAAATACAATTTAGAAATAGTTAAAATTCGAAATTAAAAATAAGGAATATTAGAAGTAGAGTATAGAGTCTATATAGAAATACAATTAGAAAATAACTGAAATTCGGAATTAAAAATAAGGAATATTAGAAGTAGAGTATAGAGTCCATATAGAAATACAATTAGGAAATAACTGAAATTCGGAATTAAAAATAAGGAATATTAGAAGTAGATTATAGAGTCTATATAGAAATACAATTAAGAAAAAAAATAGAAATTCGGAATTAAAAAATAAGGAATATTAGAAGTAGAGTATAGAGTCCATATAGGAATTTAAAAGTAAATAAAATTTGGAATAAACATAATAAAATTAAAAGTAGAGTTTAGAGTCCGTATAAAAATACAATTTACAAATAACTAAAATTAAAAATTAAGAAAAATATGGGAAGAAGAGTTTAAAGTCAATATAGAAATACAATTTAGAAGTAACTGAAATTCGAAATTAAAAATTAAAGAATATTGAAAGATGAGTTTAGAGTCCATATAGAAATACAATTAGAAATAATAAAGATTCAGAAATAAAAATAAATAATATTGGAAGAAGAGCATAGAGTCTATATAGAAATACAATGTACAGAAAATTCGGATTTAAAAAAAGAAATATTAAAAGACGAGTCTAGAGTCCATATAGGAATATATATAATTTACAAATAACTAAAATTTGATATTAAAAATAATTAATAACTAACACGTATATAATATATAATATGAATATTACACATTAGTAGTTTTGTAAAGTTATTGCAAAATTTAAAATTATATTGTCGTTTTAATATATTTGAATAAATGTAATGAGAAAACATATATGCTATTATACGAGATAAAATATAATGATGCTAGCCGCACAATCTGCGCGGGCTACCATGCTAGTTAATTAATTACTCCTATAACCTACTGTAACTTGTTAGAGCTCCATGGCACGTAAATTAATTTAGCCGCCCCTACCTAGCTAGAAACGTCTACAAAACAATACCTCAAAGATTTCCACTAACCTTCTAATCTCGAGGTAGGAGAGACTAGGAGAGCCATGGCCCATCATCGGTGGCACACTGCCAAAGCTACGTACGCCTTGTGTCATGTGTCCCGACAACCGTTGGCTCCACCATCGTTGGCTATGAACTATCCATTGGCGCATGCAGTTCTCGTTCTAGAGGCTACCATGCAAAGAGGTCCTTTTCGCCAAATAATTTTCTCATCTAGCACATTCCCGCGGTTTCCATCATCAGTTAATACAGCATTTTTTTGAGATGGATCAAGTCGTTAGATTTAACCGCTATCTTTAAATGACAGCAGCGTTGCTTGCTTCCCGTCTCCTTGCTTTGCCGTTTGCGTTGCGCCTCTCAAATTCTTTTCCCTCCATTCTCCGTTTGCTTCCCGACCACGTCTTCCGCTTCCTCTCCTCAACCAAAAGCAGAGGATTCCAAGTTAATTTCTAAACTCGCGCAGTCCATAGCTTAGCTAGGTAGAGACAAACAATCTACGCGAAAACCTTCGCTTCTGCAATGGCGGACTCGGCTCCGGCGCCGGAGGCCAGAGTAAGCGGTGGCGACGTTCCGGCGAGGCTGCAGCAGGCTCTCGCGCTGCTGTTCCCTACCAACCTCGCCGCGAAGGCCGTGCTGTTCGCCGTCGTCGTGGCGCTGCTGCCGCTCCTGCCGACGAGCCAGGCGCCCAGGATCTGGGAGCTGCCTCACATCCTCCTCCTCGGCCTCATCATCTCCTACGGCGTGTTCGGCCAGAGGAACGCCGACTCCGAGGTGGCCGCCGTGGCCGCCACCAAGACCGTCGACGACGAGTCGGTGGAGTCCTACGTCACCCAGATGATGCACGGCCCGCTGGTCTTTGAGGAGAACGATGGCGGCGGTGAAGCTGACGCCGCCGGCAAGGAGGGCGTCCAGGCGTGGAGCTCTCAGTACTTCCCAGACGATCCCCTCGTCGTCGTTGCCGATGCCGGTGCAGGGAGCAACACCGGCAAGGGCGATGAAAGAGAGAAGCCGCTCCTCCTGCCGGTGAGGAAGCTCAAGCCGGCGACCGAAGAATCCGCGACACTAACGGAGAGCTTCAGTGACGGCGCCATTGAAGAAGAAGAAGAAGAAGAAGAAGAAGAAACGGAGTTCCTCCTCCGCAAGGCGAGATACGGCGGCGTACGAGAGCATGCCATCCCTTCGCCGTCCTCAGTCCTCGATGCCGACCTGACCCTCTCCCCGTGCTCTCCGCCTCTGCTCCCGCCGCCCCCGCCGCCGCCGCCTCCGCCTCCGTTTCTTGATCACGACCGGCCCGCCCTCCGGAAGGCCAAAGCAAGAAGCTTCAACGATTACGGAAGGGTGGGCTTGCAGACCGCAGCCGGCTGCGGCGGCGGCGGCCACAATTTCCGGTCCAAATCAGCGATCCAAGCGTCGAGGAGTACTTTCCCGACATCGCCATTCGACGATCACGATTTGGAAGAGAAGGTTGCAGCGTCAGACATCAGTTCGTTCAGCAGCGATGATGTGGTCACCGACGACGGCGAAGATGGTGACAACCACAAGGAGATATACAACTACGAGGAGGAGGAAGGTGACGTGGATAGATTGGACGACGACGATGGCTCATGCGACGAAGAGCTCTTCGAGTTGGCCACGAGGCTGGCGCCGGAGGAGGAGGAGGTGGTGGAGGACGAGGTGGACAGGAAAGCCGACGAGTTCATAGCCAAATTTAGGGAGCAGATTAGGATGCAGAGGGTGGTCGAGCCGGGCAGGAGATGAGCAAACACGGAGGGAGCGAGCGAGGCATGCATGCGGTGCGCCACGATACGTACCTAGCACGAGTACGGGGGTTCCTCATGTGTACATTTTTTTTCTTTTTTCTTCTTCTTTTTGGGTGTTCTTGTGTACGTAAGTGGAACATGAACAGATGGTGTAAATGTGGAGAGGAATGGGAGTGTGAGTATCACTGTTCGTGCAATGCGCGTACTGTACCATTTGATTCCTCTTGTCTTCTCTTTCTGCGAGAAACAAGTGTCGAACAGCTAGAAGTTTAGTTTTTGGGGAGGTTTCATGCACGTTAACTCTTCAGTCCACGAACCGGCGGAGTCAGAAACGAACGTAACTCTCGGCCCAAATATCTGATTTGTACAAATTTTACTCTTCCGGCCCAATGTTAACTTTCTGAGACGTTAATGGCCCAAGGCGATCGGTTCGCTGGCTGCTGTCGTCGCGGGCTCGCGGCCTCAACGATGATTCTCCCCCGTGCGACCGAGGTCGCGTTCCACGAGAATTCGGCAATCCGCGGTAACCGCGTTGCACGGCGTGTGGCTCTGCTCCTCCCCCGCTCACACACGTCGGGAACAGCGCGCCCACGGGTGGGCGGCTGCCCGGTGAGTACGCTGCCTGCGCCTGCGTTGCGTGCGAGCCATGCAGATTCCTGCGGCGTCCCAGACGATATGATGGCTCTCCGTCCCGGCGGCCGCGCTGATCGATCGGGGTAGCCGAAAGCCCCCGAAACTGCTCGGACTGCACGGCACCATGCTTCGCGTCGGTGTCAAAGGCCAAAATACTCTGGGAATTGCTAGGCGATCTCCGTTACAACGACGGGCCGTGCTGTTGTTTCGATCTTGACACAGACGGTATGCACCCATGGTGGCCGTACGTCGTCCGTCGGTGACAGTCAGTGTCGCCGGCATTCGTTACGTAGTACTACATGTGTGTTTTATTCAGGAGCTATTGAAAAACAAGGACAGGACGAGCTTGAATACGTGATTCAACCAACACCGACGGATCAAAGTGGTGTTGTTATATAACCGGAAAATAATTCGTAGGCAACTAATGGCTCAACAGCAAAATCAAGGAGATATGTTTTCTCAACAGAAGTAAGTGCATATCTCTACGAGACTATACGACTGTATGTAGGTGATATAATTAACTAATTAAGGAGGTGATGAGCAATAGTTAATTGGCGTAGACCAAGGAATTCTTTGTCTAAAGCGCATGCCTTTCTGCGTGGTTCATTTGGAGCAATACGAGTTCATTGCATAAAAAAGAAAGGAACAATGAAGCCAATTCCATTTCTAATCGCTCGATTGACCTGTCAGATGCAGGGCCGGCATCATATGGTGCGTGAGAAAAAGCCACCGAAATGTGTCGTTGTCCCAACGCCAAAAAAAAAAGTAGCCCTCGAAGAAATGGCAATGCATTTTTACTTCATTGCAATTGCAGATAACATAAAGTGCTGTACCAATGGTTGGTAGGAAGTATACAGATATACACATTACGCTATCATCACGTGGCAGAGCAAACATCGGGCACATTATAATCGTATCATCAACGAACAGGTGTGTGCTATCAGAATTCAGAAATGGAATGAATCATTATCTTAAAAAAAACGAAATGGAATGAATCAAATCTCGTAATCTGAAAAAAATCGTGTGCAATGTGCATGCGTTTCACCTACCACTTTTTACCTAAAATCAAAGCAAGCATTGCATAGAATTGCATACTAGTAATAGTAACTCTCAATATGTGACATTAGTTTCAAGAAGTGTTATTTCACAACACTGTACAGTACTCAGGAAATTTCAAAGTAGAACATAGGAATATTTTCACTTTCTACTATTTTTTAGAATTTTATGGTGCTGAGAGTTACTCCCTCCGTCCCATAATAGGTGACGTTTTTGACTTTTTATTTGCAACGTTTGACCATTCGTTTTATTTGAAAAATTAGTGCAAATATAAAAAAAGATAAGTCATATGTAAAGTACTTTTGATAATAAAGCAAATGATAAACAAAATAAATAATAATTCCAAAATTTTTTAAATAAGACGAATGATCAAATATTGACAAACAAAAACCCAAAAAGACAAGTAATATGGGACGAAGGTAGTATCATACCTTTTAATGTAAGATATATAGCAGATATCCAATTTAACACGAGAGAATTGATACTACATCTTTTAATTCTGTGTTCTTTTCCCCTCTTTCCCAACTCACTTCTCTCGTTTTTCGTACGCACGATTTTCAAACTACTAAACGGTGTATTTTTTTAAAAAAAAATTTATATAAAAGTTTCTTTAAAAAAATCATATTAATCTATTTTTTAAGTTTTTTAAGCTAATGGAGTACTAATTAATCTCACTATAATCGTGTGATTTGTTTTTCGTGTCGAGAGGCAAGATTGGGAACCATGCCTCCCGAACACAGCCTAAGGACGGTAAAAATCACTCTTCTTCTATGGTTACAGTCAGGGGCGGATCTACAATAGAAGGGCCGGTGTCAGGCGACACCGATAACTTTCAGCAAAACCTACAGTGGAGCTGCTTATCCATATGTTATACTCATACCATAATCTAAATATAATTAGCATGCTATGACACCGATAGACATGTTATAAAATTAACGAATCGGTTTTCTGGATCCGCCGGTTACAGTACATCAATTATCAATAATATATGTCCATACTGTTCCCCACAATGGTGATCACACACCAATTTCATCTGAGCAATGTCTCCAAATTTTAGTGGTACCATATGCACACACTTTCAGGGTTTAAAAGGTCCAGACAGGGCAACCCCAGCCAAAAACCAAAAGGAAAAGAGGCTCCATCACTGTCACAAACTTTTCTCTCAATGAATGGAATCTTGGAGCTAGCCTAGCCTCCCTCCCCATCTCATGCCCCTCACACGCTCAAAACAAACGAGGCAAACCAAACCAAACCTCTCCTCCCACGCAAGAGAAAAAGCAAACGAGAGGGCACGGCGAACTAGCCAAGGGGAAGAAGAGGCAAAGAAGAGAAAGGAACGAAGCGCCCCCCCCCCCCCCCACCCCCCCCCAAAAAAAAACCACCAAACCCTACCGCCATTGGATCCCCTTGCTCCCCAAGAACCGTGCACGCCGAGGAGCAATGCGCACCAGAGTCATCAATGCGGTCCTCTTCACGGTCCTCGCCGTGCTCGTCGCGCTGGTGCTCGGCTACTTCGTGGTCCGGTGCCAGCGGCGGCAGAGGCGGCGGCGGCGGCGGGGCGCGGTGCTGCCGTCGCACGGCGCGAGGGCGGACCGGTTCCAGTCGGGTGGAGGGACGAGCGGGTACGGCGCCGGCTGCGCCGGCGGGGCGGAGGAGGCGCTCGTGAGGTTCCCCGGGGGCGAGGGGCTCACGGTGGCCGCGATTCTCGAGGCGCCCGGGGAGGTGGTGGCCAAGTCGGGCCACAGCACGCTGTACCGCGCCGGGCTGAGCGCCGGCGAGGCGGTGGCGCTGCTCCGGTTCGTCCGCCCGGTCTGCGCCGCGGCCGCCGACGAGGCCACGGCGGCGGCGCGGCTCCTCGGCGCCCTGCAGCACCCCAACCTCGTCCCGATCCGCGCGCTCTACGTCGGCCCGCGTGGGGAGATGCTGCTCGTGCACCCCTTCTACGCCGCCGGCTCGCTCCGGCGGTTCTTGCAAGGTCAGCCCGTGTTCTCCCGTCTCGCGCGTGCGCCTCGTGTAATCTCGTTTGCTTTGCTTTCGATCGAAGTTAGCTTTGAGCAAGACTAATCATGTGAATAAAAATGCTTTTCTAGGAGTAATTATTAGTCGGATTTTAGCAAGTTTTGCTAGCTTATGGCATCCAGTTTACAAGAAATAAAAAGGGTGAAATTTGATCTAGGTGCTTCAAATTATTTAAAAGTTTAGATGGTTCATTCGTTTGCTCATTGATTTCGGTGCTAAAAGCGTCGCAGGAAATAATGCTGTAAGGATTAAGCAATTTTTGTGGTGGGTACTATGTAACAGCCTTCCAGGGTGGGTTTTCCCTTACTTTTAGCCATGTGTCTTCACTGTTACACTTCGTGCTCTTGTCATTAACCAGAGCAAAGGACAGCTCAAAAAGTATTTTCACAAACTTTTATTGCTTGGTTGTTAGCTTTGAAACTTTTGCAGAACTTGATCTTCATTTTTCTTGTCGTATTTGGTTCACCAATCACCAGTAGTGAGCCCATTCTATCTTGTACCAATTTGTGGGATATGGCCTTCTGTCAAATTAACGCTTTGGGAGAAAACTTATTTTGAAAAACAGCGACATGTTTTCATGGGAGATGTTTTTGCCATTGGAGGCTTCTCTTTGGCATTATGCTGGATGTTTGTGTCTCTGGCATCTCTCAGCTCTCCTTTCAGGAAGTAGTTGATTCGTATTCTGTGATCTAAACATGATTTATGTGTTGATCTCAATTGGCCACATAGAGAAAGACTCACAAAGATAGTGGTTGTCTCTTACAGTAAACAATTTAGGCATTTTTTTTGTTGCCAACAACTTTTGGATAATACGGATCTGATGTTGGTCAATATTTGATATGGACAGTCACAGTTTCAAAAGTCTGTTCTGGTTAATCCGTTCAAGCTGGTTACCAACCCACAAATTTGTCGTGAACAACTTGCTGAATTACCATCCTTTTTGAATTTTGTTCAGAAATTTTTGTGTTTCCAAGGTTAACCTGAAGGTCCCGAACTACTTTCTCCAATTTTGAATTTGTACACAAGTCAGTCCAGAGTGATTGTTTATGCTGGTAATGCCGTGAGATATATCCGTTACCAATGCTATAATGCCCAGTGGATCAGTTTGTCAGTTCTTAAATGACGAGTATTGCATCATGTTTACATTTTCTGTACTTTCTGGTCATCATTTGCTATTTTTTCCTGCAGAGGGAATCAATGTTTCACAGAAATGGGGCATAATTTGCAAGTTATCTATTGGCATTGTCAAGGGACTGGACCACCTTCACTCAGGGTCACAGAAGCCAATTGTCCATGGCAACCTTAAGACAAACAACATTATGCTTGATGCCGATTTCCAGCCAAGGATATCCGACTTTGGCCTCTACCTTCTGCTGAATCCTGCTGCCGCTCAACAGATGCTTGAAGCATCTGCAATGCAGGGCTACAAGGCTCCAGAGCTGATCAAGATGAGAGAAGCCACCAGGGAGAGTGATATCTACAGCTTGGGGGTAATTCTTCTGGAGATGCTTGCTCAAAAGGAGGCAGCAAACAGTAGCTCACCCAATGCCCGTGACATCCACCTGCCTTCCTCTTTCAAAGATCTAGTTCTGGAGAGGAAGATATCGGATGCATTCAGTTCTGAGCTAGTCAAGCAAAGTAAGAACTCAGGCAAGGAGCAGAACCTAAATGCATTCTTTGAACTGGCAACTGCTTGCTGTAACCCATCACCATCCTTGAGACCAGATACCAAGCGTATACTCAAAATGCTTGAAGAGATATCAAGATGACAGGGTGCACATTGGTCACCGGCATCCTATTTAGAAAGTGTTTCGTTATAGCAAGATAGCATTAATATTTATAAATGTATTATCCATCTGTTATCCCTAGTGCTCAAGCATACACCAGAGCTTGTACTGGGGAAATCCAGAAATGTGAGAATGATGTACACTAATGGAGAAACAAGCATGTATAGTTTCCACCCAACCTAGAGGAACTCATATGAACAGGACAATGATGTTGTTTTATGTATGTCTGGACCAAGTTTTCCGTACGAGACTTGGGCCAATGATTGTTCAAAGGTGTGTCCTGACCTTGATTATCGCACTACCTATGGTCTGTCCTTGATTCGTCGTCATCAACGTTAGTTCATCTTTCCGCAAAGACACTACTCTAGTGAGCAAACACTGAAGTACGTCTTCCCTTTAGGGATCACTATGTAGTGACATCTTGTCAACATCTCATTTTTTGTTGGAATGCAGGCCTCAAACATTCATTTCATCGCGGACCCGGATGCTGTAGTGACATCAGTAGCGATGTTGAAGTTACCCTGCCACCTTGTCCTTCAAAGCTCTACTTGCCGGTCAATTCTTAGAATTGAGTTTACTCCCTTCATAAAAAGAGAAAAAAAGAAGCACGTGTAGCATTTTTTTTCCTAAAAGATTGAAGTTAGGGTGGGAAATGATTATGAGTGGTCGATAATAAAGTAGATAGGAAAACTAAATAAGTGATAGTTGTAATGAGTTGAGATGAGAAACAGTTAAGAAGTGCTTATATTGTGCACAAATTTATATTTCAAACCCCGAATATGCTTATATTTTTAGACTGAGGGAGTATAAATGCTAATGCTGATCGAATTACTGCAACCATGATTTTACTACTAATGTTTAAGAACAATATTTTAAACTAGGTATGAGGCAAAAAAATTGAGTTACTTGGGTAGATTCTGTGGCGAGCTAACCAATCGCACATTAAAGTGGCAAATTTCAATGTACGTCAGTTAAAAATTTAACCCATTTAATCAGGCTCGAAGTAGAACTTATCAAAATTATCAAATTCCAGGATGAGAAGTTGATAACTGACATTTCTTTACTTCCTAAATTTTTACCTCACCATTCAAAGTTCAGTACTTGAGAGCGTGAGTCCATATATCTGTTCAAAGTTCAGTACGTGAAAGAGACATGTCACACCCGAGATGTGTACTGAGTAGTTGTCTTACCACCAGTCCACCACAACCACCATGTGGCTTCTGATACACCCAGAAATAGATTCCGCGTGACCGATATAGCGACGACAATTCACATACACATCACCATCACGTACACATCACCATCACGTACACAGCCATTGATGATAAAACGCGAATTACTGACCTTCCAGGATTCCACTAGAGGCTAGAACTAGATAAAGAAAAAAAGTAGACTTCCGAAGCCTTAAAACTTCTCCATGTGCTGTGTTGTTCCTGGCACATGCTAACCATCGTGCATGGTGCAAAACCCCAAAAGTCAGTCTGCACTCTGCAGTAGTACAGCCTACAAATTTGACGTATCCTTAATTCCTAATTGGAGTTCACAACTTGATTTTACTGTACGTATACATGGCCATCCGCTTAGCAGACACGTGATACCTGTCGGTGATATTGCCATACAGCGTTCAAAACCATAGAGCAAAAAACCGCAAACAATACAGTTACTGTCATAAGAAAAGGCCATACACCATGAATATGGCCACCATTGTACTACACAGCAAAATGAATATATTCCAGAATGTTCCAGTTAGTGTTAACTTTGCATAGAACTCCCATGTTTTTCTTAAGTGATTTACCCGGAAGTGCATAAATATTCACTTCACTGTTGCAGATCAGAGACGTCAGATGCCTCACAGGTACTGACGGAGGCTCTCGCCGCTGAGGGTTTCCATCTCTTTCACAATCTCCTGGGCTAGAGTCTTAACAGGGAGCTCCACGTCCTCGAGTAATTCAGCAAGGAATGGAATGGTCTCCGGGAGGAGAACCACGTATTCCTCCTTTAGCTGTTGGACCATGTGCCTCACAACCTTCAGACCGAGCATTTTGGGGCGAACTTTGTCACTCCTTGTCCTCATCAGCACCTGCAGATATTTGAAAAAATGAGTAATTGATAGTCCCGAGCTCCCCATGGACGTAACACAAGGACTGGACAACTAGAACTGAAAGTTTGAATTACTTTTAACGAAATGTGTTGGCTCACTTTTGATGGATTAAATGATCTTTTAAATTATTATAATAATAATAATAGTTAAGTTAATGCATCTCCAATCTCACTTGTCCATTATCTAAAAAGAATGAGCTGCGAGCATAGTGCTTAGTCCCCACCTCGTGGTTAAGAGGCTTCCACAAAACATCTGACCGTGCAGTAACTGCCATTTGCCCCAAGCACAAAACAAGAGTTTCATCAACTTCATCAACTGATGGAGCTTCTGGAACTGATTCAAAATGTTCAGGTGGCTCAATAACAAACTGAGAAACAATAGGTTTCAAAAGAGCCTGCAAACAAACAACCAAAAAACCATGTTATGATTACATATATAAGTTTACCACTACTGCTTACTTCTTGGCCAAGCAAAAATGATACTACAATGCAGAAACAGTGCCCGTTTGATCAAAATATAGGTAGGGGCACAGCCAAAGACAAGACAGTGCAATGCCAGTATAACATTTAAAGATAAGTAAGTTGAACCTGAAGAATTTCCTTTCTAAGACCAGGATATTATTGAAATGAAACAGAAAACAAGAAGGAACTTCCGATGCAGCTAGTTTTCTGGTGACTTGTAAAACCATTACTAACTATGATAAGTGAACAGCTAACAAAATTTAAACCTCATAGGTTATGAAGGATCTGACCTGGAAATTGGAGGAATCAAGGATCTTCTGGTCATTGTCGTAAAGGAAACATTTGTGTAAGGATTTCAACACCAGGGCCCTTAAATTCCACAGTTTTGGTCCAGATAATTTATCCTTCTGTTCCACTGGAGCATCTTCAAGTTTGGCCTTCTTCTTCTTTTGCTTGGAACTGATCAAAGCATCATCTTCTGATAGATATTGTACAGATCCCTCAAGCAGGTACTTGAAGTAAGGTGTGAACAAGGACCTTTGGAGAAAAATGATACAAATAAGGCAAAAAGGGAAACACGCACAGAAGGTAGACAGCAATATCATGCTTAAGTGGCAAGTAGTTAGTATCAGAAATATAGAATGCTGCCTTTGATAACAAAATGATCCAATAAACAAATATAGGAGATTAGCACAAGACCAAGCTAGCAAATCACAATCATGACAAGGATATCCAAAACCATTTGTAGATAATACACAGCAATCCACCAACCCCATCCCAGGCCAGTTCCTGACACTAATGGGAAGCACAAGCCCTAACCTAAATCAAGAAAGAAACAGCATGTTTTACCATGGCATAGTTCTTGTATAGTCGTATTTCCATCAATAGTACAAGATTTATTTCCATCAAATATTACAAGATATTGGTACATTGAGGAGCAACATTGAGACCAACTTAGATTGGAGTGTGGTCAGTAGGTCATAATTGGATGATCTAATCAAATGTACACCAACACAAAATCATGAGTACTACTGCGCTTATGGACAGGTGGATTTCTGGTGCTAGGTCAGTTATCATTTGTGTACAAATGATGGTCATGAACCCACAACCAATATAAGGTACTCCAATATAGGTCAGTTACCATTGGTGGAGTATTACGTTTTGCTCATAGCCACCTGATTTTAAACAGACAATGTAGTATTTTCATTTTCCGTTACCGTACTGTACACGTAATACAACATTCAAGTAAGGACAAAGCTAATTGGTTTTAGGGTTTAAAGAAGTTTCATCAGAATAGAAACATACAGTAAGCAGTAAGCAAATCTACTGCGAAAAGTGGTTTATGAAGAATGTTCGCAATTTGAAACATATACCTGTGTTTTTCAGCGAGGCTGTTCACCAACTTGTAGAAAACAATTGCACGGTCCATACTTCTCTTTGATGTGGACCGATCAACTTCAGACTCTGCCCATTCAAGAGTACGAAGGAAGAGAGGCCTAAAAGTAGCCTCCGTAAGCTTCATTGTGAGAGTGGTAATGGCATGGATAATACTTTGCTCGACTATAGCTATATTCTTCAAGGAGTCCAAATGTTGACGGCGGAGATCAAGAGCTACCAAGCAATGCTCATAAACTTTTGTATGGTAAGTTCCTACAGCCAGCCGATCCATAGCACCAACTAGAGTAGAAAGCATTTCAAAAGCCAAGGACAGACTTGCTTCTCCACATTTGATAGCACCATTGTACAGATTAAGTAAAGGTGAAAGCATAAGTCGAACCTGCAATGGCAATAATTTGATTAGATACAAGTAGAAAGCCATTGTCCGCATAATTCAAGACTTCAGGATATGCTAAGATAGAACGTACTGGAACTTTGTCAGTCAGTAGCTTCCGAACGTCAGCTGCTTTTGCATCCAATTTTTCATCATTTCGAGAAGCACACTCCGGATGCAAAACCACCAAATCCAGAATTTCTTCCAAATATGGATTAACAAATTCACCAAGCTTTTTGACAATCACCTCGACAGTTGTCAATACCGACAACAATATGGGTATAGCTTGATTAGAAAGTTTAGCATCAGTTTTAGTGGAACTGTGAGCATATTTTCCACTAGGGCAAAATGATACTTGGTGTGATACTTGCAACATATTTTTCATGATCAATGGAAGCTGAGGTAATGCTTTTGACCCGAGCACGTTTATAAGAGAGCCTACAGTGTAGATTGACCTAGAAGAAGTAACAGCATCACCAGAGTTGATGTGATTAGTGATTTTTGCAAGGCACTTCCTATATGCAGGATTATCAGAGGGATATTCTTTTGCCAGTGTTTCAAGTGAAGAAATAGCTGCAATTCTCACTGAACTGTCTGAATCAACCTCTCTGTCAACCAACTCTAGAATCTTAACGCACAACTCACTGAAACAAGGGGCAGAGCTCTTGTCCACTTGAAGTGCAGTAGCAGGAGTGCTATGATTTAATTTTCTAGCTTTCTTTTGCTTCTTCTGGATCAAGCTATTTCCCTTTGCAGTTTCGCACAATATTCCAAGCGCCTGTTTGATAAATATACATGTCATTTCAATTGCGCGGGGTCAAAGTTGTTTCAAGTGACTTAATAATTGAAAAATACTAAATAAGACATAGAACCAAGGTGTACTTTAGTCATTAACAAAAAGTTACCTTTCTTTTCACAACACTTCTTGAATGTTCTAAC